ATTCAGATCTTAATGGACCTAGTCAACACGGCAGCACGATGGTCATCGGGTCTTTTACGTGAATCATTTGACATATAACCTATGCTGAAGACCAAGATGGAATTCTTCGCCTCGATACTTTCCGTCTCTCTCAGACATTTTTCTCTTTAAACGCCTTGTTCGTTTATCAAAGCCGCAAATTAAACAATGCCAGCTCGTTCCCTGATATCATCCGCCTTAAGAGCTGGTATAAGAGGGGCACCACTTACACGGACACGCCCTAACTTAAATGTACTCTCAACCCCAATTGACATCTCGAGAAAGATCAAGATATGCGCATTAAGACGCCACGGCATTGAATCTAGAAAGAGTTTCACCACAGGTGCTCGCCTCTCATCACTTCCCACTTCTACGTCAGCCAAGAAAGATGTCACCACGAATGCTGGCAAGAATGGATCGCCGTCACAATCCAGGCCTGGATCCCAACAGACTTCGACACCATCGGAAGATGACTTCAAAATCAGTTTTCATAATCTCGGCATGAACCGCATCACCAAGTTCGTGGTGTATGCTGCTGTCGGCGTACTCGGCACTATGGAGACTATCTTCTGGTGCAAGGTGCTCGTAAGTACTTGAACTCGAGACCAATCTAGTTGCTAGAGAGCTTCCTCTGTCTGGCATAGAAGTGTAATTACTGACTCTGCATATGCAGTGGCGCTGGTGGACGGGTAACGAGGAGGATGTGAATGAATAAGTTCGATAGTAATTGATTCGTCTCGGACTCGAGGGGTGAAGTCACTCGTTCTTGTAATATATTTGGCTCCGTTCATGGGTGTCGTGTGCTTCTCCGTTACGGGCTGAAGATACGGGAGGTGGGCGTTTGTTTAAAGAAGGAATTCGCTACTCTGTATTGCATCCTTACGGCACAATCCATTGCCCCGTTGCAGGATCTGTATTCTCCAAAGTGAACAGCCTCTGGTTGATAGATCAATGTAGATAAGTGAAGCCGGTAGTAATAGACAAATGGAGGTGGCGTATAATTATGCGGGTGCATAGGTGTTGGTAGTAATATACGGAAGATCTTGATAGATAAGGAGCCATCATAGCGAATGAGTCGACCGTGCAGGGTAACGTAAATGATTGTCTTGTGTTCGTTTTCCAAGGGAACCAGGCTCTGGTTGACAGAAAAATGTAGAAGGGAAGTCGGCAAAATAGAGCCATGGCCTCGGGAAAGGGATTGGCTCTAAGGAGACGTCCAGACACGGCCAGGATCTTGGGGTTCAGAGCACACTTGATACCGTCGAAGTAGCGCGGAGAAATCGATTCCAGTCAGGAGGTAGGGTTTCCGGTGCAATATAGCGTTTGTGATTTCTTCCTGCGAACATCAGCATTAGGTTTCGTCTTCTGGTATGGGGTGCCACAGATCCCTCAGTCAGCTCCGCCAAAGCCAGACACACGGCACTGATGTGCTACTCCCTCCGGTCAAGCCCTCAGAGTGATCCAAATCCCACCCCCACATTCCTTCAGCAAAAAAACCCAATGATGTGCCACTCCCTCCTCAGCCAGACGATAGGAAATTATGAAGGCCAATATCCTGCGAGGTATCAGGAGGCACAATCATAACATCGTCTGGCCGTTGATGCAATGAGTTCAAGAGCGTGTCAAGGCCATGCCGAAGCAAAGACCGGGCTCAAGAAATAGATAATCCCAAGGTGAGATTGGCATATCATATATGTCACATCTCGCCGTCGGGATCGTCAGAATCACCTGTCACAAGAACTGGTGCACTGCCATCGTCTTCGAAAATCCGGCGATATTCTTTATGCCACAGAATAACTTATGAAAAGGATAGTTTTATCTATTGGGATAAAACAGGTTCTTCCCTGTGGACACTTGTCACAGTGTATCTGAAAGCGTGCCAGGTAGCCGTCACCAAATAAGAATAAGTGGGATAGCGGTCGACCCAGGTATTCTGCCCGCAGTTAGCACAACCACAAGTAATCGGCGTCAAGTCTCCATCGAGAGGATCTGGTTGTCGCCAGAGTCAATTCTTCAGACACGCAAACCGCAGGTGGATCTCTCCAGCTTTATCGTAAAGGCCTCCAGACAAGTGGCCTATTAATTGGAGGGCTGCTCTAGCCTCGACAAGCCGTGCTAAGTTGATCTCACGGCAAATTGCAGCAACCTTAGGATCAATATCGTTCTTAGTTGCATGGTTAACAGCCCAAATACTGGCAAAGTGTTTTTTTATTGGCAATGTCGCTCTAATGGACGGGCAATTGGAGATTCAAGCCAATTTCGGGGGTTTTTTTTTTCAAGCCACTTGGGACACCATTTAGCAGCCTAATCATTAGTGTGGCTATTCAAAAGATGTGGCGTCGTTTGAAAGGCGATCGCGAAAAACATCTCTCCTGGGTTGAACCACATCTGGGTCTCATTATCCGACCAGCCAGCTTTTCTAACCGGAATGCTAAGGATCTCGAACTTGAAATAACGATGCTGGCTTGCACGCCATACGCGGTGGGCTGGCTGCCGCTTGCGAGGTCGATACCCGAAAGCCTGTCTGTCGTACAACTTGTCGAATCGGAAGTGGACCCTTGGCCTTTATCATTGTAGATGGGATGAAGAAAGTGACTAGGCAGTTGCCGTGAGGTGGTTTATCTACACCGTCTCTTATAGTGACTTGAAAAGTGGAATAACAAGGCTATATATATAACCAGATGCACTTAATCAGGACAGGATAACATAGAATTTCTATTAGTTTAAATAATTTATAATATTTATAACTTGTTAAATAATACATTTAATTAAAACAAGATAACATATTATTTCCACGGGGTTAAGTAATAAATAATGCTTAATTTATAATAATGGTTAAACAATATATAATAAATACCTACAACTTACTAAGTAGCTTTGGATCAGCGTTAGAAATAAAAGCATCTGGTAAGCCCTAATCTAAGTACATGTTATATATATAGTTGGGCTGGAAAGCTTTGTACATGAGGATGGTCTTAGCAAATGTGATGTAGGTGCTCTTCAACTTTATCCAGTAACAAAACCGAACATCATTTCATCCTCACTAGCCTTGCTCACGCGTCAGCATACCAATATTTCCCTAACATACGCAAATTCGAATCTGCGGGATATCGCATCCGGCTCATGGAGTATATTCTTCAGATGATTACCGCAAAGCTAGTAGACATGTTTAAAAAGAACAGCAACGAAGTTCTGGTGTTCAACCCCTACTAGTTCATCCCCGCACTGAGTACTGAAACGGGCATTAATAAGGATAATCAGAAGATGACATCCGAGAAGGCAAGCGAAGCTATTCAGCCGTACATCGAGCAAAAGCAAGAGAATACTTCAACTACACCCATGGTAGACGGAGACGACGGTCAATCCGAATTCGAAGAAGAAGACGACGGTATGGATCAGCTAGAGGACCCTCAGGAACAGACTGAAGCTAGCTGGTAATTGTGCCCAGCATAGGTAGTTAAATAAAAGTCCGATTAAGTGCATTTGGTTATATTGTGGCAGATATGACGAACAGCATATAGTCGCCGTGAGGGGGCGCCATTCATACCTGCCACAATATACATAATCTAGTTATTTTACTTTTTAAGTTATTATACGGAGGGTTAACAGTTAACCTCCTCTCGGCTTCCGCCCAGTTCTGTTTCAATTGCTGATTCCGTTCCTGTCCGGTTTCCCGGATCTTGGCTATTTTTTTATTGGCCTTCTTATTGTCGCCCTCCAATAGTTCCTTGACTCGCATCAAGTTACCAAGTGGTGTGGGAATGTCCGCTGCTGTATCTCCCTTGGTTCTTTTTGGTTGAGGCCCGTCGGTAGTACTGCTGGATTCAACGGTGGAATTCCCTCTCTTATGTCCCTGCTTCTGAGGGTAACCATGCCCTTCCTTGTAAGAATCAAGAGATTTAATTCCCCTTTTTGTAGTAGTGGGAATGGGGTGCTAAATCCAATTGGGATTCTTGGAAGTGTTGCAACAGACACACCGGCTGTTACAAGGGCTTGTATTCAAGGGCTTGAGAAGTGTTTAGATTGACTAATAATCATCTATGCGATCAAGGGGGCTCTGGATCTCTAGTCCTCCATCCTATCCAGCCAGGTGGGCGAACTCCAGGCTATATGAATAGCTTCATATGGGCCAGCCGCCTGGCTTCCTCGCTTCCACTTGCCCTCGCGCCTTCGTATTGCTGTCAGTTACGGCTAGCAGCCTTGGTGGTTAGGTCAGGTAGTTGGCTGGCCCGTATGTATGAGTGCAGTGTGTGTGGCTAGGTTGTGGCTAGTGCTGTGGCTCACCCACACACACCTATTTGTAAATTACCTAAATACCTAGGTAGCTTACTGCTGGAGATTGGAGCCCACGAAGCTACCTTTCTTCTCCAGCTTAATTAATATGTGAATCCAGAATCTACTGCACAGAACCGCGAATGCACCTCTATAACACTGTCTCAGATAGATTAGAACATACAGGAGGCAACGGGACGAGACGGGAAGCCTCTGATAATCCATAGGCTCTGCCACCCGATCATATGACTATTTACAGGATTACGAATATGCAGTTCGCCAGCCTTAGGGGCTAGCCTAGGCCCTGGTCCCAATCCCTTGGGTCCGTGTGACACCGGCGAAGGCAAAGCTCTAGGGGTAGTCAGTGCGCCCACCATTAGATAGCTTAGTTCCAGACCTCCACCTCACTAGTCAGCTCGATAACTAATACAACTACATTGTCCACCACAAGCCTTACAGCTCCTGCAATATGTGCTATATTGTACAAAAATCTACAGATGAGAAAAAAAAGGAAGGGGAAGAGTCTAGCTACAGACCTAAGTTTGGTATGAGCTGTGGGGGTGGGGCAGCCTTAGCGGGCGACCACGTGAATTCGCGGGTGCGGGGCTAGTGTGGGGCCAACTCCAAGGATTCTCACCAATCCTTGATGAACACGTTTAATCTATATCTTTAAGACAAATTACTCCTCATTTTGGCAACATAGAATGACGGCATTGGTGGTGTAATGGCAACATTGGGACCTCCCACGTCCTAGCCCCGGGTTCGATTCCCGGCCAATGCAGCTTCCTTTTTTTTTTGAATCTCGTTAAGTCTCGTTGAGTCGTTTTCTCTTCGATCTCTTCAGATTACTGCTAGTAACTATCCCATTGACAACTATTTCGGCTCTGTGACCCTGAGTGGGGCTCTCACGTGACTGCAAACATTGTATGTTACTTGATTGGGTGCATCTCTTCCGCCAAGAACGATCTGTCCAATCAGGCTCTGCACGCCTCCCAGGGTGCTGCTCCACTCGGTGTTACGTGTTACGGACGAAATAGGTAGCCGTCAAAGGGATACTGTCACAGTTGACAATCCATTCGATACCAATATCTGTGAGAAGTGATTTGCAGAAGGTCTTCCGAACTGCTTAATTTGCAAAGTTTGATAGCGCCATCACCCTCTGTAACATAAAAGATGACTTGGGTGTCTTTTAACATGTTTTGAGACTAAGCAAATCTTCTACAAAAGCTGTTGCTTAAGCGGTTCCTCGAATTCCGTGACACCTCAGAATCATTTGATTGCTTGGATGATCTTGACTATATATACTCCACAAATCGGGAATAGCACATGAGGGATCAAGGTTGGACAGCCATATAAACGGCATATAATGTGTGATATACTGTAGTAGTATCTTGGAATTGACGTTCATTATAACCTCAAACGCCTACAGAGCGGTGTGAAAGCGTTTGTAACTGACCGATCCCGGGGGCGCTATCTGTTTCGACGATGGCCGACCCAGCATAGCTAACATCCGTTGACATACTCGCTTTCTGACAGGATAGGTATTATTGATGTGAAGAGGCCAAGCACGTTTTTGGAATTCGTGAAGAAGGATCGCCGAACGAAATATACTTGGAATAGTATTCTTGTGGCAACGGAAGTCAATGCAATAAGAACATAATTTTAGTGTCTATACGAATATGCTTGTCGTCTGCCTTGTTACGATCAAGTGTTCTCCTCAACGCCAAGTTGCTCGTCCTCCAACTCTCGAGACCAATCTTACTTCGATGTTATCCTTACACCACCGCGACTTTTTACGGATCGTGTGCGATTCCGTCCAGGCCAATTGTTGTGGAGAGGAAGTCTCAACATGGTATATATTCGACTTGCGGAACCTGCTGACTGAGGCATCTAGTCGGTATCCTAACCATCGTCGCCACTGTCGGAGGATGGCGGTTCATATTCACTACCCGAACCATCATCGTCGGTATCGAGAGGCACCGTATCAAATATCTCGCTGACCTCATTTGCCAAATTCCTCCAATTTGGCGTCCGCGCTACATTGCGCTGGCAAATACGTAGAGCTCGTCTTACACTGGGCCGCCTGTCCGGCTCTGTAGCCATACACCTAGCGATAAATTCCCGAAAGGCCTTACTGAAACGCTCAGACCTGTAGAAATCCTCGTCGAGCCAGGTGTCGAAATCGTCCAAATTTGGGATGTCATCGACCAGGAATGTGGGACGGCCATCATCATCACCCCATACAAGTGCGTCTTTTTGAGGAAGCGCTAATTGGCATATTAACTTATTTCGACATTAGCTACGGTGCTTTTCCCAGGACGGAGATACTGGACTCACTTCGCCTACATATCTTATATTATCCCACTGCGCTTCTATAGGACTACCAATGCCTAGTTAGTTTCCATTTAATGAGAAATGTGGAAATCGATAGTATATTATGTGAAGGTCATAATACATACGTCGCCTCGTTATAAGCGAGGCCGAAATCAATAATCTGTACGCTATCAATAATGAGTTTTCAAAAAGAACTTCTCTGGCTTCCTAACTTTCACTATGATATCGTGTAGTTAGCTACGATTTAACGGTTATTTATCTCCCGGGACATTGGAATGAACCAGTCTCCTTACTTACATACAGGCACTCCCTGATGGCAGCTTGGCCGGGTGTCATCACTAGCATCATAATCACCAAACATTATGTTTCCCAGATGGAGGTCTCCATGAATCAATCTACTCGCTTTTTGCATGGGATTTGGTATCACCTCTCTTACAACTGGGGGCGGATTGAGACGACCACGGTTTGGGGGCCAAGCCATCGCAACGCAGCCGCGGGTCACTGGTCTTTTGGTCAACGCTTTGCCGGTATGAGAAAGTTCAAGAATCTTACGACAGAGAAAAAAGTACCAGAGCAGAGGTTCGGATATCTCGGCAATGCCCAGGTTTCGACACCTGTGAATCAGCGCGTCGCTTTAATAGCAAAAGTTAGTTGATCGCTTCTGTCCTAGGTTTTGCTAAGGGTCTAAAAATTTGATAGAGTCTTTAGAATACTAGCTCAGCTAAAACGGTGTACTTTGTCGTCACTAGCCAAAGCACTACAACAATAACGCTTGTTATTACTTACCCATCACCCCGGCTCAGATGTTCCATCACAAAGAAGTAGAATCGGGTGGCATCGTGGTAATGTGTTCGGCTAACTCTTAATTTCCATGGTAGAATTCGAGATGAGTTTAGAGGTCTGCTAAGAGGTTCATTCCAGTTGCGCGATCGATGGCGTCGGTTATCGACGATAGATAAAAGGCGTATAATATGTTCAGCTCCCCAAAGTCGGCGAAGAATCCTTTCCTCAGCTGCCGTTTCGTCATTGCGGTCATAAAAATATGTTGGTGCTTCCGCATGCTTCACTATAATTCTGACCACACCACCCTGGGCGTTTCTTCGCTTGTACAATATGATGCCACCATTATACTTCTCAGGTTCGAAGTCATGCTCAGCAGTAAAGAAACGGGTCAGGGCAAGAGCCCGTGGCCCGGGGGGGTAAGCCATCTTGGATCACGGAATCCGTGTTTTGTTGGGGTAGAATGCGACCTCAACGCCATCTCGGCGTTGGCTTAAACCAACTCTGATAGAAGAACTTACTCTTTGTGCGAAAACTCACAAAGGCCCTCGGGCTTCACTTTGTGTGCATTGTGGCGATTGTGAAAGGTCAACAAAGTGATTTTTAATGACACAAAGAATCGCGAGAGGAGCTACCTAGGTACCTACGCATACTGTAAACCAAGACTTGAGCCAAAACGGCGACTGCGCTAATCCCGATTTGTCGTGCACATCAAGCAATCCGACCTGCACATCAAGACTGGCAAAACCTACACGGTACTGTAGAACCGCGCTGGTCGCTTTTGGGTCTTTGTGGTGTCTGTACAACCTAGTCGGGTATTAAGTCCATGTCTCGGTTACGTCAGAAAACCCCTCGTTGCCAGGCAAGCTCCAGGGCTTTAAATTGTTGAACCTCGGAATTGCACGGAATTGCATGGCATGGAGCGATAATATCCGTTACTGGAATTTCGCGTGAACAAAGGGGGACCTCGGGAGTTGGGCAATGGGCCAATTAACGCTCTATGCGTTTAGACATATATCGTGACCTCCAGTCGGGTCCTGGAGGTGGGCACATGAAGCATGGGGACTTCAGTTCCAGCTGTGGTGGATCTACCTAAAAACCACCCGTAACCCCACCAGCCTCTCTATCCGTCACTCTGGATCGGAATGACTAGCACTTTCTTAGGTCCACTGCGAGCGAGCAGAAGCATGAGCTTGGTACCTTAATTACACTTGACCTCACTCAATCACCTATAATTCACACAGATATAGTGTACAGGCCCTACATACTTTACTACCTCACCGCGTACCCCAGTATTTGCCTAAGACTTCGTACGAAATACGATATTGCAAACATAGCACTCTAGCTGTCACCACCACACTCCCCCGCCTGTCAGCCAGCCAGCAAGCCCAACATGAGCGGCGCCAAAGGCGGCGACAAGATCGACAAGATCATCGCGCGACTCCAGCAGCGCATCAGCGAGGGCCAGTTCTACGAAGCCCAGCAGCAGACGCGGGTCGTGGCCGCGCGGTACATCAAGGCTGCCAATTACTCGGCCGCCATCGACATCCTCTACAACGTCGCCCAGTCGCTGCTGAAGGCCGGCCAGGGTGGCAGCGGCGGCGACCTCTGCGTCCTGCTGATCGACACCTACAAGCAGGCAGAGCTCAAGCCCGACCCCGCCACCAAGAGCAAGCTGCTGACATGTCTGCGTCTGTTCGACAGCGAGGAGCCCACGCGCAAGAAGTACATCGTGGAAATAATATCGTGAGTTTTCACGCGAATTCTCTTACTATTCCGTCACTGGATGGATCGTAGGCTAGCTAGCTAGGGCAAGAGACAGAGCTACGGGAATGTAATGCTAACACAGATGGCTTTCCAGATGGTCATCGCAACTTGGTGACTACCCCGCCGGCGACCCTGAGCTCCACCACGTTGCGGGCTCCCTTTACGCAGAAGAGCACGAAGCTTACGATGCCGAGAGACACCTGATGTTAGGCACCAAGGATTCCGCTGAGGTGCTCGCCCGCATGGAGTACGAGTGGTTCAAGGAGGACGATGCACATACGGCTGCCCTGTACGCCGGTCGGGCGGTATTGCCCTATCTGATAACGGCGAACGTCCGGGCTGCCAATACATCCTACCGCGTCTTCACCAGCGCACTGAGCAACGACAGCGAATCCCAGCTTGGTGCCCAGGACGTGAGCAGCAACAGTGCCGACTTGCGTGTGTTCCCTAGCATACCACTCCTCAATTTCCTCGGTCTGCTACTCCTCGCCATTCAGAGAGGCAGCCCAGATCTCTACCGGCAGTTGGTGGCCAAGTACGCTGGTCATCTAAAAGAGGTCGAGATGTGGAACGAGGCGCTAGAGATCATCGCCGAGATATACTTCGGCATTTCGAAGCCCCGGCAGAGTAACCCCCTAATGGACATGATGAGCGGCTTCTTTGGCGGCGGCGGCGGCGGCGGGGCTCCTTCAGGCGGGAGCTCGAGGAAGCCTGCTATCAAAGCTCCATCATCGACGTCAACGTCGACATCAATGCCGGCCGCGGAGGGTCTGGATTAGTCGAGTTGTACAGGGAGAACTGTAGCATAGACAGAAGACAGCCGGTATAGAGATTATAACAAACGGTACCCCTCCTCTTGATCATGTTCAATGAACGCGCGGTGGTTCCTCGGCCTCGTAC